CTGACTGCACAGTAGCTTGTTACTACTGCGCAGTAGTGATGTCTAGCAGGAAGCATGATGAGATACTACTGCGCTGTAGGGGTGCAAATCAGGCATTATTCAATTCAGATTCAGTGCAATTCGGGAGACAGTGATTTAATTACGTGATTCACTGTCCTGATTCAATTTGGCTGAATCTGAAGATTCAATTCTGATTTGGAGAATCGGCGTTTCAGCCAGAAACAGCTTTGTATGTTTTTTCTACGTACCTCAAGGTACCAGGCACAGCTCATGAACCCTGCGATGGTGGGGTGGAGGGAGTGTTCCACGGCAGTGTGGGGGAGTCCCCCGTGTGCTTGGCGGTGGACCCGGAAGTGGACAGGAAGTACTTCAAGTTCACTTCTGGGTGTGCCGCTGAGCACCTGGGAGACTCCCCCAAGCCTCCCCAGCTCAGCAATCAGCCACGAGGAGACCCCAGGTGGCCCCCCAGACCCAGGAGGCCCCAGTCGCCGAGCCAGGGAGTGAGGGGGTCCCCTGCACGGTTGGCACTGGACCTGGGAGTGGACTGGAAATAATTCTGGTCCACTTCTGGGTCCACCGTCGAGCACACGGGGGACCCCCCCCGGGACACTCCATTCACCCCACCATCTCAGCGTTCACGAGTCATGCCTGGTACCTTGAGGTACGTAGAAAAAACATATAAAGCTATCTACTGCCGAATCATCGAATCTCTCCAAATTGAATTGGAGGCATCTGATTCAATCTGGAGAGATTAATGGGTCTCCTGATTTGATTCAGAGATTCAGCTGCCAAATTGGGCCGAATCTCCTCCAAATCAAATCAGTGACTGAAGCTTCGCACAGCCCTACTGCGCAGTAGTAATGAGCTACTGTGCAGTCAGTGTCATGAAAAAGCCATTTGTCAATGGTACTGCACAGTAACTCCAGTTACTGTGCAATCATTCAGTACTTGTATAAAGAAGTACTATTGCTTATACAAGTACTAAATGACTCCATAGTAACAACTGCGCAATCAGTATCTCATGCAGATGTGGCTACAAGGAAGTAAGGCTTGTTAGAACAAGTTTTAGGTAATGTGCTCGTGGAGTAGGGGGGTAAGAGAGATGTTATTACAGGTAGCAGAATACAGTGCTGTGCAGAGATGCTTGCACTCTAGCAGTTACACCCCAGGGAATTATGCACAGAAAAAAATCAAAATAACGTGCAGAACAACTCAAAATGAGGCAAAATTAATTACTTTTTTTTTTTGTACAAATTAAACTAAATATAGCACTATTTGAACCTTTTTTAGAAATATATGCAGGTACTTTGTATGGTTGGGGGTGGGGGTGGGGCGTGTGTATGGGGGGGATTTGTGACGGTGTAAGGGTGTGTGTGTGGGGAGGGATGTGGATGAGTGTGGGGTTTGTGGTGGGTGTGAGGTTTATGGGGGGTGTGAGTATGGGAGTATGTGGTGTTTAGGGTGGGTGTGGGGTTTGTGGGGGTGTTGTGAAAGGGTGTGGGTTTGTGGGTAGGTATGGCCTCCCCTACCACATATTCCCCTCCCTGCATGGTACACAGCCCCTGCCACTGGTGGCTCAGTGGCAGCAGGCAACAGGCCCTCAGGGAGCTCATAGCCACGGCAGCACGAATCTCTGGCTGAATCCCAGGGCCTGCATATGCTGGCATGGAGTTGGCCCAGCTCACTTGTGTGCATCTTCACACCAGATCAGGCTGGCTCTGTACCAGCATGTGGGGCTTGTAGCACTGCAGGCAGGAGCCGCATGTCATTGGGCCGGGTGGGCTCCATGTCTCTGTGGGTGGCTTCCCACTGGAGTGTTGGAAGCCCCACGTAGAGGCACTGAGCTGGCTGGCCTGGCCCAATGGTGCATGGCCCATATACACCCACAAACCCCACACCCAGACACACACCCCATGCCACCCCTCCTCCTGCAGGTAGGAGCTCCCTTCCTCACTCACCCAGCTGTCCAAGCACACAGTTCTGTGCCTCCACATCATAGAGGTAGAGGCATAAATCCGTCTGCAGTTAAATTATGCAAAAATATGCAATTATTATACCTTTCATGCGCAAAATTGTGTGGGCGCATAATTGCATAATTCCCCAGGGTGTAAGCATGGCTGTCTCCAGGACTAATTAGCCTGGGTGGGGAATTGGACTTGCACAACTGTACAGGTACCCACACTAGCTGTCTTTATGACATGGTGGACTAGTACACATAATAAAAAGACAGTTTAAATTGGAAAATGTGCCTATCCTAGGGAGTGTAATATTATTTGGCAAACACCACCACCCAAGGCTTGGAATTACAGACTGAAGCTGGAACTGCAAATCAGTTTCAACAAAGCTTATGTCTATAATTAAGGCATTTCTAGCTTTTCGTTTTTGGGAGCTGCCTAATGTTTTCTCCTAAGAGCACCACAGGTTCAGTACATTTGCATGTTATTTTTGCCTGATGGAGCAGAGACTTCATGAGAAAAAAGGTATATGCTGTAAAACTGATTTTCAATTGCAATGGTCCATGTACCACTGCTCTGAAAATACTGTCTTTTATTGAAGTGTCATTGTCGATCTATTAACAAGTCAGTACCATAAAATATTTATTTTCTAGACATCAGGGAAGCATAGGAACAAAAGTCTGTCCAGAATAAAATCCTCACAAAGTCAGTGAAGGAGTTAGGTTTTCATTTGGTGTAAATGAGCAGTGTTTTTACTTGAAACTATGCTGATTTGCACAGGCTTAAAACGTGGCTCAGGGTTTCTTAGGACTCAATTTTGCAAGGCACTGCTACCTGCCAGTGTTTGGTGATGGCATTCAGTACCTCACATGATGTAGAATCAAGTCATGGAAAGTCCCTGAAGAGAAGGGCCCTGTTCTCCACTCTCTCTCTCTCTCTCTATTTGATTCACTCATCATTTTAGCACATGCTCATCTCACTCTACCTGATCTTAGGGCTTATCTACATGTAAAAGTTAATTCACATTATGACAGATTATGAATTTAAAACACTGCAATATCACCAAGTAACTCCATATGTAAGCAAACACTAATAAAACAGTCCAGAACAAATATGGGAAGGGAATGGGAAATGCAGCACTTGTTGCCACTTGGTATAGGTTATTCTCTTCAAGCCTTACAGGAAAGAAGATAGAACTTCCTTACCTCCTTTATGTGAAACAGGGTTAAAAAGGTATCAGATGTTTCTTTCCTACTTCCTCCCTTACCTCAGAAATTTAAATACTAAAGTGGTAGAACATGCAAACAGGGTAACATACAAATGTAGTCATGCAGATGTTGTGGGGGGTTTTTTAAATACATTTTTGAAAGGTATAAAATAACAGAGTTGTGTGTGAGGGTCGTGTTTTATTACATTCTGACTAATATCCTTTGAAAGGGTCCTGAAGGTAATGTTAAATGCTGAGGCACGTGTCAAAGAGTTCTCAAAGTCAAATGCTGGCAGCAGATGTGCTTGCAGTTGCTCACGTTGATTTTGAATGTTCAGTGTAAATCTTAGATGCAAAAGTTCTCCATTGTTCTCGCTTCTCATTCAGGTACAACTAATGCACTCAGCATTTTCCATCATCGCTCATTCAACTATGGAAGAGATATGTTCCTAATTATCTCTGGTTTTGCAGAACATTAACTGCTGCTCATTTATTTTGCTGGCTTTAGAGCAAGTTTCAGGCAAATAAAGTGTAAATAAGATACAGACTATCCAGTGATGCCCTGTTATTTAGAGATAATATGGAATGGGAGTGTGCTTATTTCTGAACAATTGGCAACAAGGTGCATAGCCATTTCCCAAGATGTATATTTTCCGTTCTATTATAAAAACATTTCTATTACTCATTTCTCCACTGAAACGGAACAAATCTGAATCTTCCGTGTTTGGATTTAAAATATGCAGGCCAGATCTTTAAAGACTCATGTAGCTTGTCTTTTATTTTGTTCTTGAGGGGTAAACTGAACCTGAAATCATATCTTTTTTTGATATCTACAATTGCTTGACTGAAGGCAACAATTAACATATTATTTAAATGACAGGATTTGCCCTTATAATTTAAATATGAATTGCAAAAAATGTTGCATCTTTGTCTGAGTGGAAATTGAGTCCACAAAAAGTGTTGTACTCTTTAAAAATGTATGCCTAAAAGAGCAAACCAAGTAGGCTGAGCCCAAGAACGTGAGCCTTTGTAATGTGCCTAAGAATTGATCCTCCTGTTTTTCTACTGGGTGAATAAAGGATGGTAGTAAAATTAACGAGAGGCAAGTATTTTTTGTGATATCTTCTACTGGACCAACTGTACAGCTGGGAGAACTGCTGGACGAGCTTTTGGGGCATGTAGGGCTTCCTTCGCAGTGGGGTGGGGGCTGCTTTAGAGTGGCTCTCAGAGCCACTCTAATTAAAGTGCCTGCAGCATCACATGTATTCAATGCCCCGCACTTCAAAATGGCAACGGGGGTGCTTGAACTAAAGCTCATTTAGTTAAAGTGCCCCTGCCACCATTTTGAAACACGGGGGTGCTGAATACATGTGACGTGGAGGCTGCTGGAGTGTGCTAATTAGCACGCTCCAGCAGACTCACAGCAGACTCAATTAATCAAGCCTGCTCCAACACATGCTAATTAGTACATGTTGGAGCAGAGGTCTGTCATGTGTATAGGTGCCCCAAGTGGCCTCCCTCAGGTCCCTGAAGAAGGTCGCTGTATGCCTGAAACTTGTCCAATAGCTCTTCCAACCATATACCTGATCCAATAAAGGATATTACAAAAAAATCTTTGTCTCTTGTACATTTCCTGGACCAACACAGGTATGACAACATTCCAACTCTAGTAAAATTCACCAAATATTAAACCTAAATGCTTATGAGTCGGAACCATAATATAGGAAGACAGTGAAGGATTCTTCAGTATGCCTGACCTTGACACATAGAAGTCAATGGAAACATCAACCTTGAGTAAAGAATCCAGCTTTGAAAGAGGAAAACTTATGACTTCTTACCTGCACACTAGTAAGAGTGGTATATTGGTAAGCTTTGACTACCAGGTAATTGGCTTCTATATCTATTATCCCCAGGATCATGTACTTCCACCATCTTCGTTTCAAAATTGCCAGCAAGTTTTCCTCTCCTGTGGCAGTAAAGGAAACAGGAAAACATTCATAAGCAAACAAACATACAAACAAACAAATACATCTACACCCACAAAACTGTCACGTAATGAGAGATTGTGCTGTGATCTCTTGCAATTACATGACTTGAAAAAATGCAACAGGATGTCAATCCAAGTCCTAAAACACAGTTAAAAACTAATATATTTTAAAAAAACATTCTAGATCAGGTAAAAACTAATGCCTTATTTGTTTTGAAATATCCAATCAGCACAACAAAGAAGGATTGGTTGATTGTGTTTTCAATTCACCTGAGTTTTAAAAAGCTTGCCAAGAAAACAACTGGGGTTCAAACAAATGTTTAAATATATGCCTATCTGGGCGTCATTTTTATGTATTTTATAAGAATATTTTTTGCTCAGTGTATCGATTTAATTTTTGTCTGCCAAAGAACCACGACTTTGGTTCACATGACCTGAAAGGTTCTCATTTAAAGTTGGAGCTTAATAGTGCGTACGGGTAAAAGAGAAATAAGGGTAGTAACAGAATAAAATTGGAGCTAATTACAAAGTTTAGAAGACAGCTATTGTGATCTTAGGTTCAAAACATTGGACTCTTAGGGCATTTTTACACGTGTTTTGGGATGTGGCGCTGAGCACTTTAAAAATGGTGGTGGGGCGCTTTGAACTAAAGCTCGTCGAATGTATTTTATTTCAAAGAGCCCCACTGCCATTTGTTAAGTATGGGGATGCTGATACACATGACACAGAAGGCTGCCAGAGTGCATCAATTTCTGTGCACCAGCAGATTTGATTAACTGAGTGTGCTCTGACGCGCTGGAAATCCCTGCACATCTACAAGAGCCCCTTAACACTGTTTAGAGAAAGGCTGCTCTGAGACAAACAGGTTGTGCATGACAGGTAGCTCTGCTTGCAGAATCAATTTTTGAAGCAGGCAGATTTGTTCTACAATGCCCTTGTAGAGGAATCCTGTCAATCACACAGTACTTAATTTCCACTGTGTGAAGACTGTCAGTGCAACATGGCTTACAGATCAAATCCACAACTTCTGAAAGGTCAAACAGTCCTAATGTTAGACCAAGGATTATTACTGGTCTCACTTCAAAAAGAAACCAAATACTTAGTGAGAATGGGCAAACCTATTAGTATTTATAGGTATTATGCAAACATCTACTAATCAAAATTGGAAACCCATGGTGGGTAGAGGTGTACATATAGACCCACAACCACTAAAGAGGTTATAGTCTACAAAAGGATATAATAAGAGTTGACTTGAACCATTGGTATAATTTTTCAGATAAATTTGAACCATTTGGGGAAGTTAAAAAGATACTATTAATACATCTTTGCAGATCTGTATGTGTCTGCACACCTTTTTAGTGTCAGGTACAACAACAATTAACAATGGACAAACTAGGATAAATAAAAAAGAAATATTCTGAACCATTCTGAAAACCAGCACCAAAACTTTGGAAGGTTTGAAAAAGTTTGGGCATCTTTCTCAGCTGCACTTTCATTTATTTTTCATTGTCATGTATGCCTCTACATCTCTAGATTCCAGCTGGAAAAGACACACTGTCATTACCAGTAAAAAATGTGGGGCTCTGTATTTCTGGTGCACACAGAAGCAGAAATATCAGAGATATGAAAACTCAGACCTATTGCTGTACATAAGAGGGGCAAATCCTTCAGATATTCATTCAAAAGCTTGGACACGAAAACTTAGCCCCACTGAAATCAATGGGAATTGTGCCACTGACTGGAACAGATTTCACCCTGAGTGTCTGTCTCTGAAGGAAACCCTGAATTATTTGATGCTTGTTCATTAACAAATACACCCACACACATTTGTTATAATGGGGCATCATTAAGCAAGTCCTGATGATCTGCTGTTGGCAGTGACAGTGAGAATGTAAAATTCAATAGATAAAAACAGACTTTGTTTATGTAGTAAGAAGAAGAGAAACAGCAGGAGTCAGGACCTAGATTATACTAAGTATTTTGCCCAGACAACAGCCAATAAGTAATTAAAAAAACTGGATCTGAATAAATTGGTCCCTTTCAGGATATCATACGTTTCCATCAACCTTTATGCTTTAAATGAGCTCTGACTAGAAAAAACAACATTTTGTTTATGCTGCTGAATAGGTGCATGATATAAGTTTAGGCATTTATCATGTCTATTTGAACATGCAAAAAAATTCCTTTTTGGATGTTTGCTTTTTGAACATTAAAGAATGCATTTTGAAATCAGCTTTTGGGGATTTAGCTGTGTGATTCCCATCAACATCAGCGCAAGTAATGCAGGTAAATCCCTTCCCAGGATTTTGAAAATACATCGTTAGGATTTACAATGCCACAATGATTTGACACACCTAGAAAATACCCAACTAAAAAGTGTCGGCATAATGGAAAGACATGCTTATAGTATTAATTTTTTCTTTGCTTAAAAATTAAAAGAACAATGGAATCAAACTAAGGAAAGGTATAGAATTAATTGATGCACTTAGTGCACTGTGCATGGCATTAACACAATATATTGGTAGCTAAATTAACACTGACACTTGTCAGTGTTAAGGTTCCAAAAGCACTTAGGATCACGCTTAACTTCAACCTGTTTGCACCCATCCCTATTCAGAGGAACACATAAGCTTGTGATTAACATTAAGCTTGTTTGTATCCCATGTCACAAGCTTTAGCACATCGCAGAAGCACGGCCTAATTCCTATCCTTTTTGCTTCCTCAGTTCCTTACGAAAAGACACACAAATGCTAGGTACAGACATTCAAAGAGCCCAAGGAAGAATCGGTCTCAAGTTATGCGTTTTTCTGTAAATGGCATAGTTTAGGTTGGTAGCAAACAGAACACACATTTGTGCTTTGGTGGGGGGAGCAAATCTTAGACCAGGTTCCATACTTTTTAAACCAGTCTATGTGTGCTGAACATCTGTTCTGTTATAGGTACAGACTGGCTTTGTGTGCCAAACTTCTGTTCTGTTATGGTTATAGACTGGTTTCTGATTGCTTAGACTGGTAAATGTGTAATATCTAAACCTGGCCAAAAGGGGCTTATGACAGAACTACACCCTCAGATTTGCCGCTAGGGATGTTGGAGGACAGAAAAAACATAGGAGCAGTTTTAATGAGCTATCCCTTTGCATATATGGTCCTGCCCTCCATAGATGTGCTGAGATCTGCAGGGTTTTCTACTGGATTTGGAGGCATTTCTGCAGTCAGAGGGCCATGCTCCTCTCCATCTTCTGGATCCATACAAACCTTGGATCAGTGATCTCATATTATATTATGAAATCAGTGAGGAGAGGCTTACAGAGATTTCCAGGCAGATCTGCCCTCCCTGTGAGTTTTCTACAGAATGATATGATAGACACTATGACAAAGGACAGAAATTACACTTAACCCAGTAGAAGTGATCAGAAACGGGTTCAAATCTGTAACACAACAGAAGTTCAGTACACATAAACCACTTTCAAAACAGACAAAACTGGTTTAAGATTAACCTGGATAGATGTAGTATGGGAGTAAACTGATTTAGGTTAACTCTGTCCCACATCCCCTCCAGATTGAAGTTAATTCACAGTTCCCCACCATCCCAGGATGCTTTTCACCTCCCCTGCACACCCTTGCTTGCAGGGTGAGCAGACTAGTCTTGGCCCAAGTTGTCTCCTTCAGACAGGCAGGGAGGTGTGCTCCAGTGTCCCCCAGCTTCTGGCCTGTGCCATTGTTGGCATGTGACTGCATTTCCAGAATCAAAAGTGAATGTCTGTTCACTTGCTTATTGATTCAATCTTTGCAGCTTAGACTAACCTGCAAAGACTGAATTGGTTCAGCCTCAGGTGTTTTCACTGTCTGTACTTAGCCTGTAGAGTTAGGATTAGTTTTCCAAGGCAAGATGGGGACATCTCATTGACTTGAACCTAGACTGGACAACATGGTAGAGAATATGCAGTAACAAACAACGCTGCATTAACCTACAAAGACACAAACTAGTTCTGCCAGCTCTTTTCTATTTCTGATTCCTATGGCTGCAGTATGAGATCTATAGTATTTTACAGAGAAGTTCAGTTTTCTAAGACTGGGTAGGAGAAACTCTGAGCATGAGGAATGTGGACTGAAGAAAACAAAAATAAAGATCAAGGCAAAAGAAGTGTTCTAGCTTGAAAGATCAAAACACTCTTAAAATACAAAGTGCTGCAGTAACTAGATTGCAGTGTTATTTACCATTATACTAAGGCTCTTTTTTCCATTTTCAATATAGCACTATTGGGAACTGAATTGAGCAACCTGGTGGTTGACATGGCAGTGAACTGATTTAAATATGTAGGGTCTATTCTCTCACAGATGCAATGAAAAGTGAATTTGCACAAGTGACTACTATCAATGCTAGTAGGAGCAGTGTTGTAAATCCTTCTGCTCTAACTAGAGAACAGGCCCATTACCTATAAAATAAACAGAACATTACAAGAAAGGCTGTTATCAATAATCTGAAATGGGAGAAACAGGATTATGCCCTCCCTGCCTCCCCCCCCCCGTAAATCACAGACAACAAAATAGCCATCCCCAAATAAATCAAGTATGCTGAAACTGATGAGTATTTTTGGTCTTTTTTGTGATCCAATTTCACTTTGGGTGTGTGTGTGTGTGTGTGTATGTGTGTACTTGTGTATAAATTTTGCAAAAGTCCTTGACACATTAATGATAGAAAAAAGCTAACTAGTGACTATCTGATGCTGCATAGTGCTGGTGATGCTAGCTACTTTTTGCCCCATAGCCCAGTGGTTAAGGACATCCTGGACACTTTACATGTGAAATTAATGAGCAGCAATAAACTGGTGTATATCGCACCAGAGTTATTGCTCCCGGGCACCACATTTTACACATGTGCCTGGGACACCCAGCCCAGGGCTGCTCTGACCTGGCTCAACGTGCTGCAGAGGGGCTAGCTGGGGCACAAAGGTGCTCCAGTGTGGGTCTAGCTAGCAG